AACAGTGTTTTATTTTCTACAATGCAGATGTGTAAATTAGATTCCATTTCATTTATTTTTTAAATGGCAATATTCAGAAATATAAAATGGCTTACCCTTATTTTTATATCTGTACAAATTATTTTCTTTATGAAAATTATACATATTTTATCACACAGAGCTCATGTACTGACATAGTTCATATTTTTGCAATCATAATAATTTCTTATTTATTTAGCATATTTTAATTATAATATATGTGAATATGCAAATATAGCAATCATTTGGAATTTACATTTATTAAAAATAAATAGAAAGTCAACAAACACAGGAGGGCACAAATTTGCTTTTAAATTGCTGAAAGGCCCACATTATCTAAGATACAAAGATTTTTGTTTTTCAATTCAAAACAGGTCATGTCTGCATTTACACCCAAACTGTTATCTTTCTTCTAGGCAACAAGCTTTCTTCTCTTTATTCTTGCAAATGGGAAAATGGCCAAAAGAAGAGGAAACGAAACAACTAAACAAAGCCTAAACGTTTCAATGTTCTTTTGGAAGTTTAGTAATTTATGTCAAAAACAAATAGCACTGTTATTCCTAAATGTAATTATTATTTGAAAAATAATTTATGTTTATTCGTTGGAGTGGGATAGAGCCCTCTATAAGCAGATCATTCTTTTCTATTTCTGTAGATGAGCAACTTTGGGAAGGTCATCTTGTGAAGGAGGAGGAGAACATCCATTTAACTGTGAGATTAGCAGCATCAACCATGGAACCAATAGTTTAGTAGATCCCCAAGAAGATCATTCACTTCACACAATCAAACTATGTCTTATTAAGACAGAGACCAAATTTCACAATACTATATACAGCAGTCATCCAGCCTCAACTTTTATTAGATTCAATGAAAACTTATTAGATAATTATGTCACACAAACATAATCTACTAAAACATGGTAAAATATATATCTACAGCTCAGAAGTAAAAATCATATTTTGCAATAATAAATTATGTATCATATTTATTTATGATGAATAAACAATAATATTAAATATTTAACATTTATTAATATTAATTTACTATTAATATTATCATGGAAACTCAGATGAGCACGCTTTTTTTCTTATGTAAAGATAATTTTCTCAAAGAGAGAACAACTTAAAAACTTATTTTCCGTAATCTAGAACTAGGATGTTCATTCAGACTTTATTAATTATTGACAACAACAGCAACAACAAATCTGTCTTGCCAGAAAGATAGTATCTTCTCTGGTGCTTTAGCCTTCATTTGCTGTTCTGAATTACACTTATGACCAACTTATATTGTAATTACCTTGGGCTATGTCTCCTTGTGATTGTTAGCCATTATTTAGTATATAACCATACTACATATAGCACTAAATAGCTCATGATATCAAAATATCTCATAGTTAAAATTGTGGACATTTGAACTTCTGATGGAAGTAGTTGTGTTTATTTTTAAATTTTCTTTATTTTTATATTTTTAGAGACAGAATCTGGCTCTGTCACTTAGGCTGGAGTGTAGTGGTGCAATAGAGCTCACTGCAGCCTTGATCTTCTGACTTAAGCCATTCTCTTGCCTCAGCCTCCAAAGTAGCTGGGACTACAGGCTTGATCTACCAGACCTGACAAGCAGTTGTGTTTAATTAGTGTGTGATAAAGATGAAGACATACAATTGTAACGGATTTCTCATAACCATCAACTTAATTTTAAAATTTTCATCAAGTTAATATGTTAAATTTGATTCAACAGTTCACATCTGAGTTTGTAACACTAACAATCTGCTTTCCTTCCTCCTACAATAAGAAGACAGCAACTATTGGTATAGTGCATGAAAATACGTAAAACAAACAAGCAAACAAAAAACCAACCAGGTACTAGGCAACATACTAGAACCAGTATAACAGCACCATTTACCAAAATTTATTGAAAATTAAATCTATTAATTGATGGGATAATGTGGACTTTCTTTTTTGGAAGCCATGAGATTAGCCTAATTTTTTTCAAACCAAATTAAGACAGTTTCAAATACGTCTTGGGATATTTACACTTACCAAATCTCACATGATAAATGTGTGATGTATGAAACCTTCTCAAAATGATTCAGTTATGAAAATGCTCAGAGGCAAACTCTTCAAACTTCCATTTGTGTATATAGCCAGAGTAGTTCACTTAAACTGATTTTTCTTTTCAAAGCTGTATTCAATGCTCTTTAATGTTTTTACCAAAGTATAAAGAAACCAACAGCTTTTAAAAGGAAGATTTAAAAATTGCTATAGTATGAATACAATTGTATTAAATACAGTTAATATGTGTAGGTATTATTCTAGATTAGTGCAAATGAGAATAAAAGTTTCTAGGATCTAGATTATTTTAGAATTTCACTAATAAGATCAGTTTCAGTTTAGTTTGATTTCCAATTATCAATCCAAATATCTTTGTTTTCATTCTTACTATATTTTAAGCATTATAAATACAAATTAAACTTATTTAGAAAACAATAAATTTTAAAAATTAGATTTGCATGTTTCATTTAAATTTTTAAATCATGCTGTCTACACTACAAATTAATTTTTCTAAACAAATATTATGAAGAGATATAAAAATAATACTGAAATGTCATATTTCAAATGATATAATATATTTTCACAGTGGGTAAAAACAAATGTAAGAATTTTTTTTTTCTGGAAAGTGCTCAACCAATAATATGCAAAATGAACAAAAGTGTATCTGTGAGAGAGTATTAGAAATAGTCTAGAGCTGGGGAAGAAGAAAAGTTATAAAATTTGTTAATAGTCCAAATGCTTCCTCAGCACTAAATTGTGTGCAAAATTATACATACACAAGAATGATAATGTTTTATTTTGCAGGTAAAATAATTTGGAGATCAATGAAAACTTTAAATTTTTCCAGGTTTTTAAAAGCTTGTATATGAAGTTGAAGCTTTGTCAATTTATTAAACCTTTTATTTAAAATGTCGGTTACTTACTTGAAAGAGGTATCAGGTTTATCTAATCTACACTGTAATCTGGCCAGCATTTAAATTGTTGCTATATAAATAGCAATCCAAATAATAACATGAAAAATAGCAAATAACTGTTCTTACCTCAATGCTGTTATAGTTGCTTGTAAAGCTGTTTCACGGGTTGAGACAAACTACCAGCACGTCAAAGATCTGGGTTCTCTGCTCAACTCTCTTCTCTAGTTACATTTTTTTTTCTTCCTCTGCAAAAGGATAGTCCACCAAAAGAGGAAGTTATGAAATAACAGTCATTATGCTTTTTCCATTTTATGGGGCATGGAAAATTATTCATGAAGCTTACACTTGAAATCAGAGCAACAGGCTATAAGTACACATATATAATTAAAGTATACACATGTTTATATGTGTAAGCAAAGTTTAGAAAAGTTAAGCTATTGAAACCTATAGTTGGCCTGGCACAGTGGCTCATGCCTGTAATCCCAGCACTTTGGGAGGCTGAAGCAGGAGGATTACCTGAGGTCAGGAGTTCAAGACCAGCCTGGCCAACATGGTGAAACTCTGTCTCTACTAAAAATACAAAAGTTAGCCTGGCATGGTGGCGGGCACCTGAATCCCACCTACTCAGGAGACTGAGGCAGGAGAATCACTTGAACCCAGGAGGGAGAGGTTGCAGTGAGCTGAGATCATGGCCATTGCACTCCAGGCTGGGAGACACAGCGAGACTCCATTTCAAAAAAAAAGAAATCTATACTTGATTAAGTAGTGCTCGTTTACACAAGGAAACATGTCCTGTGTGGCTCAATGATCACAGAAAATATTGCCCTATGCAGAAGAAAACTGTCCAGCTGATATATGGGAATAAACTTGCTTTTATAAGTCTAATTAATTTAAAGTATTTGAAGTATGACCCAAATGCTAATCTGACTACAGGCATCTTATTAAAGGAAGAAACAAAACAAAACAAAACAAAACAAAAAACCTCCAGTAAACGGACATTTTCCTGGAATTTGGGTAGTGGTTTTTTACCTACAAGTCTCAAACTTCCTTTCTCATGAATAGTTGCCTGTTACATAGAGATAAAGCACTGCAAAACTGAAACTGTTACTTACACATGAACTTACACATGATCTTTCATTACTTCAGCCACAAGAGTAAAAAACAGGTGCAGAGGTGCAGATCCTGCAAAACTGAACATTTAGCTGGCTAAGTTTCTTACAGGTTGGAGTAGTAAATGAGAATATTTAAAGGACAGTAGGGACAATGGTTGAAAAAAGACATAAAAAAGTTGATCAAAGCAAATACTACTGCCAACTTCAAATAAAAGGATATATACAAATATATTTATCATCGGTTCAGGTTGCCAGATAATAGAAGCCAGTGTGTAGCTTCATTTTTTATGTGTGGCAGTTGCTCCCAACCTCCCTCGCTCATTGGGGAAGAAGGAGATGGATTGCAAGCGAAGCATAGTAATTATGCAAACCTCCGCGTGTTGCAAGAACCACTTTTTGGACTTTAGAAGCTATCATGCTGTCACTGCACCACACTCTTTGCTTTTTACTTAACCTTATGTCCAAAGAGGCATTAAGAGTAATTAGACTGGGCACAATGGCTCACCCCTGTAATCCCAGCACTTTGGGAGGCCGAGGCGGGTGGATCACTTGAGGTCAGGAGTTTGAGATCAGCCTGGCCAACATGGTGAAACCCCATCTCTACCAAAAAAATGCAAAACTTAGGCGGGCATGTTGGCGGGCCCCTGTAATCCCAGCTACTCAGGAGCCTGAGGCAGGAGAATCCCTTGAACCTGAGAGGCAGAGTTTGCTGTGAGCCGGGATCCTGCCACTGCACTCCAGCCTGGGCGACAGGGTGAGACTCCGTCTCAAAAACAAACAAACAAAGAGTAATTAGAAGATGATTAGAAACTGAAATATTTTCCATTTCACCTAAACTCATACTTAATATGAGTTTGCAGGAAGTTAAACAAATAAACAAATAAAGTGAAGAAAGCTGCCCCCTCCAGAAAAACACAAAAAAACCCCAACAAAAAACACAAACAAATAAACAAAACCCCAGTATGTCATTAATATAAAAATTTATTTGAATTCTTTTGTGAACTACTTATAAGGAAATCCCTACAGAAAAGTTGTCGATGTGATTAAAATTGCTTAGATTCTATGTGTTTAGACAAATTTTAAATATTATGGCATTTGGGTATCATTATATAAAACACTAGGCTTATCAGTCCCCAAAGATCCAGTAATACTTCTGGAAGCATAGTCCTCAATGTCTGCTGTAAGTTTAATGTATATCCTCAATATTTGTGTACCTTTTGCCTGAATAACGGATGTATATCTCTACTTCTCTTCTTCTCTAATGATCCCTTCCAGGTTGATAAATATGCTCAAGTATCTTTCACATTAAAAATTCCTCCTCTGACTGACTTGTCCTCTTACTTTCTTTTCCTTCATCAGAACTTTTTGAGAAAGTTGCCCACTTTGACTTGAGCCCTTGTATCTTTTTTGTATGTGTGTATGGTAGAAAATATTTCACAAAATTTACCATTTGAACCATTTTTAAATGTACAGTTCAGAGGCATTAGTCCATTCACATTGTTTGCAACCATGACCACCATCTCTCTCCAGAGCTTTCTCATTCTTCTAGACCGAAATTCTGTACCTATTAAACAATAACTGAACGTTCCTTCCTGCTCTCAACCTGGCAACCACCATTCTACTTTCTATCTCTATGAATTTGATTACTCTAGGTACTTTATATGAATTCAACCATATGACATTTGTTCATTTGTGTCTAGCTTATTTCACTTAGGTTCATCAAAGTTGCAGCATGTGTCAGAATTTCCTTCCTCCTTAAAGCTGAATAATATTCTATTGTATGTATATACCACATTTGTTTCCTATTTATCAGACGATGGACACTTGAGTTGTTTCTATCTTTGGCTATTGAGAATAATGCTGCTATGAACATGGGCGTGCAAATATCTGTTTGAATCTTTACTTTCAATTTTTTTATATACACCCAGAAGTGGAATTGAATCATACAGTAATTTTATATTTACTTTTTGAGGAACGACCATACTAAGTCCACCTATCTTTCTCATGTTTCTTCCTTCTGCATGGCTTTCCGCTTCCTCCTATTTACCAAGACTCTTGCCACAATCACCAGTGACCTTGTTACCAAATCCAAAGTCCAAAAGTCCTCTTACTTGACCTGTTTTCAGCACATGCCAATGTTGACCACTTCCTCCTCCAGAAAATGTTCTCTGTCTTTCAGTTCTTGACTTCACTCTCACCTTCTGATTATGTAGCAACTTCTCTGATTTCTTTATGAGTCTTTAACTCCGCTCTTCTAGTAAATGTTGTCACTTCTCAGGATTCTGTCCTGGGCTTG